TCATGACCATCAGAGTGGGCAGGAAAAGCGCCAGCTTGACCCAAAACAATCGCAGTAGCAACATCACCCGACATCGCGACACCTGCCGTTGAACCGCAAGGAAGCAGCGCAGGGGAAGCGTTGATGCCGATGGTGATTACGGCGTGGTACCCGTCGAAACATTCATCACTGTCATAGATGAGCTCCGATGTCTCTGTGGGGTCGGCGTGCTCGTGAAAGCCAGGGTACCTCTCTGACGGACCAGGAGGCTCAGGTGCAGCTGGTGGCGCTGGAGGCGGAAGGATGGATAATGCGTGCTCGAAAGAATTAAAAGAGAGGAACGTCAACAGCTGGGACATAAGCAAGACATGCTGCATCACTTTATCCAAACATGGGAACCGAGGGTCTGCTATCATCCGTGCCAACGAATCCCGTTTCAGGTGAAGCTGCAAAGACTGGTTCACCAGCGTGTTGAGATGGAGATGGGTCGCTTGAACTACTTGCAGGCCGCAACGCAGCGCTCGTGGTACCCCGTGTCATGCCCACGATCTCTGGGCTGTTGGAGTGGTAGTCGTACTCGTCGTCTGACATCGAATGATTCTCGAAATGAGCGGGGGAGGAAGAACTTCCGCGCCATCACCCATGAGCTCTGCCATCGCCTTCAAATCAGCTGCAGTGGGAGACGGGGCCCTCGGTGCACCAAGCTCGCGCAGCCTCCTCAACGGAGAGGCAACTGGCGGGCGCGAAGAAGAGTCACGCGAAGGTCGTTCGGGTCGGTATCAATCCTTGTCATATCTCAAGGAACTGTTTCTGGCACGGCGCGCAGCCTGGAAATCGCGTCGGCAAACCAAGGGAGAGCGATCATGGTGCCGATGACCCTGAGAAAGCGAACACAAAAGGTCTGGCGCCCATTGGAGCCGCGCAACATGAGCCAGACCATTCTGACGTGCAAGCCGAAAAACGGCTGTGTCCATATCTGGAAACTCTGTGTCAAGATGTGGAAGCAGCTGTTCGCGTGAGATAGCCGATGCTTACCACGCTGCCAAGCATGTCCCATCCGCCACTCGCTTTCATCTGTCGTCGCCAATCCGTGAAGCGTCTCCAGTGGCGTGAAATAGCGGTAATGCAAGAGCCCAGAGACGTAGTCCATGCACCAGTCCAAACACGTGTAGGAATTGTCAATCTGCTCCAAAGACTCAGCATACTAAACACCGATGGGAACCGCGATGATGCCCATGCCGCAGCGCGGTCCGCGAGTTCTCGCCGTGGCCGCTCTGCTCTCCGAGCGGGGGTGTCTTCGCCCGAGCCTCCTGCAAAGGCATTCTCTGCTTCTCCGAGTGGGGGTATCTTCACCGAATGGGGGTATCTTCACCCGAGCCTCTTGAGGGACTTCTCGACACAGGCGTTTGGGGGCACTCGGCTCGGCGCCGAGGAATCCATCGAGAGGCTGCCTCAGCCGAGCTGGGCTCCGCCTCGGCGGACACGGCCGTGAACGAGGCGGCCCAGCCGCCGCTCGAGATCGGCTGTTCGGGTTCGGGAGGATCGCCACCATCTGCAGCACTTGCTGGAAGGAGGCTGACGCCCAGGATGGAGTTCTTGCCGGAGATGGACAGACCTCCCTTTAGTAAAACGTGGTTTAGTGAAGACGACCTCGGGCCCAAACCTGGCGCGCGCAAGCCTGGAAAACAGCGGCCACGGCGCCCTCTCGAGAGCCGAAAACGGACAATTCACTAATCGACGTGTCACTGTTGGGGATTCTGTCCACCCCCGAGACATGGAGTTCTTGACGACGCATGCAAGGGCGTGTTCGAAGGACTGGGTGGACTCCTGATCCGGACGTGGTTGCGCCTTGCGGGAGATGCTTGCCAGTGGAGGCCCGCTTCACGCTGCCACGGTCCAGGACGAAGGCTGGCCATCGTCTCCGTGAGGCGCCCGGGTGGTTAATCTTGGCGGCGCACACAAGGGGGTAAGGGGAGGGGGGAAGGCTTCTTAGAAGGAGGCTGCTTCGTAGAAGGCGCCAGCCTTACATCTACAAAGAAGGCCCGCGCCTTCTAAGAAGCAGGGGTGTTTCTAAGAAGCCTTCCAACCACCCCCTACCCCCTTCTGCGCGTGGCCAGTAATCAGTGCGCGCCCAGATCGCTTCGCAAGGGTCCCATGCACGCAGCCAAGGAGAGTCTCGCACCGTCGCTGGCAAGAGGATGACTCTGGACCATGGCTGGGTGAGGAGCAGGCAGTTGAGGACCACCACTGTACAAAGGACGCGCCAGTCAATTCAACTATCCCTATCCTGCCAAACTCCACCCTCCGCCATGAAGAACCATCGCTCCGCGTAACCCCTCGTGCGGCCGAGCATGCGCACCGCTTCAGCGACTCCTCGCTCGCGCAAGCGAAGCTGGGGGAGGTTCGCCCCTCGCTCTCACGGATGGCGGCGCGGCGGGCAACGGAGAAAGGCCTCCTAGCCCCCTATCGCGGCCTGCAAGCCCTCGGGTAAAACGACGCGAAAATCGGGACAAAATCGGATCGGGAGAACTCGAAATCTCTGAGAATCGGCGGGTTTGGAGGATGTATTGGGCGCCGCGGCCGCTCCAGAGCGCTCCGGAACGCTCTGAGAGCGCTGCGGAACGCTCTGGAACGATTTACCCCGATCCTTACCCTGTTTTACCCCTACCGCGGCGCAAGCCCTCGGGACGGGCGGTGCAGGTCCGCCGCCCGGGTGCCCACTGCCCCCTTCTTGCCGGAGAGGCCGTCGGGAGAGAGCCGGCAGCGAGAGGAAGAGCAGCGCGCGCGCGCGACGCCGCTCGGAGAACGGCCGGGCACAGAGAGAGCGTCCTTGGCCATCGACGGCCTGCGAGGAGCAGGGGCTGCTGCAGGGCTCCACCGTTTGCGCACCGGCAGGGGCTGGCTTCGACCGTTCGCCCCGCCCCTCGAAGGCGCTCTGCTGTGCCCCGACGTGCCTCGGGCCGTCAAAATGTCCACTTGGCCGCCCAGCGGATCGCGCTTGCCAGCAGCTCTTCGCCAGCAGATGCACAGGAGGAGGAGGAGGAGGAGGAGGAGGAGGAGGAGGAGGAGGAGGAGGAGAGGAGGAGGAGGAGGAGGAGAGGAGGAGGAGGAGGAGGAGGAGGAGGAGGAGGAGGAGGAGGAGGAGGAGGAGGAGGAGGAGGAGGAGGAGGAGGAGGAGGAGGAGGAGGAGGAGGAGGAGGAGGAGGAGGAGGAGGAGGAGGAGGAGGAGGAGGAGGAGGGGGGAGGAGGAGGAGGAGGAGGAGGAGGAGGAGGAGGAGGAGGAGGGGGAGGAGGAGGAGGAGGAGCAGGAGCAGGAGGGGGAGATGGATGGGGAGGAGGGGGAGGAGATGAAGGAGGAGGAGGAGGAGGAGGAGGAGAGGAGGAGGAGGAGGAGGAGGAGGAGGAGGAGGAGGAGGAGGGGGAGGAGGAGGAGGGAGGAGAAGGAGGAGAGGAGGAGGAGGAGGAGGAGGAGGAGATGCAGGGGGGGAGGCACGGGACCCGAGGGAGGGAGGCTCCGGGCGGGCCGCGTTGAGCTGCGGGGCCCCGGGCGCCGCCCTGCCCCGCGGAGGCGGTGTAGGCCTTCTTGTAGCCCCGGAGGCTCTGCAGCTCCTCCTCGGTCCCAGTCGATGAGGTGGTTGACCTGGAGGAGGAGGGGGAGGAGGAGGAGGAGGAGGAGGGGAGAGGAGGAGGAGGAGGAGGAGGAGGAGGAGGAGGAGGAGGAGGAGAGGAGGAGGAGGAGGAGGAGGAGGAGGGAGGAGGAGGATGAGGAGGAGGAGGAGGAGGAGGAGGAGGAGGAGGAGGAGGAGGAGGAGGAGGAGGAGGAGGAGGAGGAGGAGGGGGAGGAGGAGGGAGGAGGAGGAGGAGGAGGAGGAGGAGGAGGGAGCGGAAAGCCACCACCCCCATCCGCCCCACGTTGCCCTTTCCCGGGACAGTCGAGCGCCCAGGGAACGGGCAAGTTCTCGCGCGCGGGGAAGCACAGCAATCAATGGCGCAACAATTCGCGGATCGACTTCGAGGATGGATCGACGGCGAGCGAGGGGGGGAAGTGAGAGTGAGAAGGCCTTCTCGGAAGGCGGCGGGGCTTCTGAGAAGCCCTCCTCGCGCCTTCTGAAAAGGGTTTGTCAATCTCTCAGGAGGCCAGGGGGCGTCCGAACCTTCTGATGGGTCTTCTCCTTCTCGCTTCCCCCCTCGCTCGCCGCCGAATGGAGGATCGAGAATCGACTGCTTCTTCCGCTTTGTCGAGGCGGGGGCTCTCGAGGATCGAGGCCGGGGGCTCGAGGGTCGGGCTGCTTCTCAGGCCGCCTCGGGCTGGGGGATTGCGGCTCGAGGACCGGGGTTCGAGGATCCAGTTGATGAGGTGGTTGACCTGGAGCGCTCCAGTCGGGTCGGACGGGAGGGGTTCGAGGTTCGAGGTCGTCGCACATCGGCGGCGCGAGCTTGCCAGGCGCGCGCTCGCACACGAGCTCGTGGCCCCCCGTCCACACTGCGGTCGATTTCTCGCCGCCGATTTTCTGGCGAGGCCTGCGGTGTGCTCCAGTGGAGTGCAAGGCCGTGCTTCGCACCGACACCGTGCCTCACCCGCCACGCCTGCCGGAATTGCGCACGTCTTCGTCGGCCCTCGGCGGTTGGCCAGCCTCGGGATGCTCTCCAGCAGCGGCGCCTCGCCGAGAGCGCTCCCGGGGTGCCCGGATCGTCCCGATGGGCCGCTGGAGTCAGAGCCATTGTCCGAAAAACCTATGTTTCACGATTTCGTGATGGCAGAACAAGAAAAACGCCATGAACGTAAACTTTTGGCGCTCCGCGCGGATGGTCTTGAATCTGCGCTGGACCCCCTCCTTGGCGCGCGGAGCGCGCCAGGGGCGGCGCCGGAGGCGCCGCCGGGGGCGCCCAGTGCGTATCCACGAAATCCGCGCGGAGCGCCGAAACTTTGTGCTTATGGCGTTTTGTTCTTCTTCGAGACAACGTCTGTGACCAGCCCCGCCCCCCCCTCCTCCTCCTCCTCCTCCTCCTCCTCCTCCTCCTCCTCCTCCTCCTCCTCCTCCTCCTCCTCCTCCTCCTCCTCCACCCACTGGTCACGTCGCGGGCGCCGTTCGGGAATTGCCAGTGGCAGCCAATGCCAAGAGGCGGCCGGCGCCTGCGCGCGAATCGTGAGGTCACCGGGGTCGCACGCCAGCGTCATGATCGGCTTCGAGGGTCGACTTCTAGGATCGGGGGTCGACGTTCAGAGATCGGCTTCGGGGGTCGAGGGTCGAGGATTCTGGGCGATTGGGGGGCTCCGTTCGGGCCCTTGGAGGCCTCCCCCGAAAGCCACCAAAGGTCCGTGGGGAACTCAAACCAGCGAGCTGGGTGACCCGAGGATCGGGGATCGGCGTCGCATTGAGGATCGAGAGTCGGGTGTTGTTTTCTTGCTCCCTCGAGGTGGGGTCCTGGGGCGTCCTCGTCTCCACGGCCGGGTCTGCCGACAGGATCGGGCCAGAACGCGCTGCTGGACAAGTCTGGGGGGATTGATCCCAGAGTACGAAGGGCAACAAAAAGAAGCCTGGGGAACACTCCACTTCGTGCCTCGAGGCACGGTGGCGGACATGGTCGTGTTGAGGATGAGGATGATAAGGATGATGGACAAGAGGAGGAGGAGGAGGAGGAGGAGGAGGAGAAGGAGGAGGGGGAGGAGGGGGAGGAGGACCAGTGTAAACCCAAGAGTCATCAACGATGTTGGAATAAACTCTCCCTCCAAGCTCCCTCTTCATACGGCCCTACAACGGTTCATTTCCATTGATGGAACCTGAACTGCCTCGTTGGAAGACACTCGTTTGAAGGCCCTAAAGCATGCCGAAACATTGTTCTCGGGATTTTCGGATCAACCTGACCGTCGCGTCTTGAGGATCCTGAATCGTACCAGAACGCCATCCCCAGCACTTCAACACAAAGAATCAACGTAACTGCTGCACCCGCATAATCCAGAATCCGTCCAAAACACAATTTCTGGTATGTTGATGATGGGAACCAGTGAAACTCTTGCAGTTATTTGAAACGAACGTGCGCCGCGCTAAGGCGAGAACCACATTTTGAAAAGGAACCGTCTTCAATCCGTAACCTCTAGCAAATGTTTAAAACGAATGTGCGCCGCGCTAAAGCGAGAACCACAAAATGAGAACGACTCGACCTCAATCCGTGAAGCTCTTCCATTATAAAACGAATATGCGCGGCGCTAAAGCGAGAACCACATCTTGAAAACCCCTCGCCCTCAATCCGTGAAGCTCTAGCAAATGTTTGAAACGAATGTGCGCGGCGCTAAAGCGAGAGCCTCATGTTGAAAACCACTCGCCCTCAATCCGTGAAACTCTTGCAAAAGCACGAATGTGCGCGGCGCTAGGCGAGAGCCGCATGTCGAAAACGACCCGCCCTCCATGTGTGAAACTGTTGCCGCTGTTAAAGCTTCACGGTCATGAACAGTGAGGCAGTCTCAGAAGAAACGCCCGGCCCGCCCTAAAACTGGCCTCGGGGTGTGACAGGGAGAAGCAATTCATAAGGAAAAGCAATGAAGGAGGAGGAGGAGGAGGAGGAGGAGGAAAAAGAGGAGGAGGAGGAGGAGGAAGATGAGGAAAAAGAGGAGGAGGAAGAGGAGGAAAAAGAGGAGGAGGAGAAAGAGGAGGAGAGGGAAAAGAGAAGGAGGAGGAGGAGAAGGAGCAGGAGGAGGAAGAGGAGGAAGAGGAGGAAAAAGAGGAGGAGGAGGAAGGTCGTGGAATGGAGGAGGAGGAGGAGGAGGAGGAGGAGGAGGAGGAGGAAAAAGAGGAGGAGGAGGAGGAGGAGCAGGAAAGAGGAGGAGGAGAAGGAGGAAAAAGAGGAGGAGGAGGAGGGTCGTGGAGCGAGGCTCAACGGGCCCAGGCTTGCAGACGCTGTATCCCCGCCCTGGAGCCCTGGCTGCCTCCAGCAGACTGGGAAGCGAGCAGGGGGAAGCGGAAGGGAAGGGGAAGGGGAAGAGAAGGAGGAGGAGGAGGAGGAATGAGGGGGAAGAGGAGGCCTTCTCGCTCGAATGCCCCGACCAGCCATGACTGGGGGAGCTGCGGTCCTTACCCCCCTGGGGGAACTCATCGCATCGACGATCCTGGCCTGATGCCCCCCTGTCTTTCTGAGGAGTTTTATGAGCCTTCCCGGAAGACGCTGCTTGCGTCGGCGGCCAGGCAGGAGACGTCTGCCCTGGATGCCTCCAGCAGATTGGCGGCAAGCCAGGGGGGGAAGCGAGAGGGGGAAGAGGAGGCCTTCTCGCTCGAATGCCCCCCTTTACCAGCCCAGAACATATCCCTATCCCTATGTTGGGCATCGCCTCATCACGATGGCGATCTTAGAGATTCCCTCAGTTTCTGAGGGTGCATCCCTAAGATTGTCATCGCCTTTTGGCGTGTCAATCTCAAGGATAGGGATAAGTTCGAGGCTGGTGACCCCTGGCTTTCTGAGAAGTTGTCTGAGCCTTCCCCGAAGACGCTTGCTTGCGTCGGCGGCCAGGCAGGCGACGCACCAAGACGTCCAAGGAGGTCCCCAAGACGGCCCAAGGGGCCCCCGAGACGGCCCCAGAGGACCCCAAGAGAGCCCCCAGGCGACCGCGAGAGGCCCCCAATACGGCCTGCGCAGGGGCCAAAAGGCGCAACAGTGCCCAATACGGCTCAAGACGCCCCCAAGAAGCCCAAAGAGACCCCAAAGACGTCACCAAGAAGCCCCAAGAAGTCCCCAAGAAGCCTCCAAGAGGCCCCCAAGAGCCCCCAAATGTGCCAGACGGCGACAGAGCGCTCCAAACCGGCCCAAGACGCCCCCACGAGACTCCCGAGAACCCCCAAAACGACTTGACTGCACGTACTCCGGACGTGCACTCCCTGGAAACCTGGGAAATATCGAAAAAGTATCGGCAATATGGGAAATATGGGGAAACAAGGCTGAACCTAAACGGTGCTTTTCGTTTTCGTTTTGCTTTCGTTTTCCCCGGCTTCTGTCTCCAATCCGCCTTTGCTGCAAAACGAAATCGAAACGAAAACTGCCCTGGGAAAACATTGGCAAATATATGGGAAATCCTGGAAGGCTCGGGCGTGAGACTCTGATATATATATATATATAGAGAGAGAGAGAGAGAGAGAGAGGGAGAGAGAGAGAGAGAGAGACAGAGAGAGAGAGAGAGAGAAAGAGAGAGACGAGATCAAGGTGACAGGCTGGAGGTCAGTCAGGGTGGGCCTTTGACCTCAATCCCCCCGAACCTCCTTATCGCCCGCAGGGCGGTCGTATAGGTATAGCTTTATGTCGGGCGTGTCCCCCTACAGGGGGGTTTTGGGCGAAAATGGAAAAATATAAAAAATACCTCCCAAATGAGCAGAAGTAGTCAAGACATCGTCCCCATACTATCTTTTGACTACTCTTGAATATTCCCCCTGTAGAGGGACAGGCCCGACTTAAAGTATAGGCACATGGGCAATCCTGGAAGGCATCAATCTCGCGGCCCCCGGCCGCCCAGCGGGACGGCTCCGCGGCCCCGGCCGCGGCGGCGGCACCCCTGCGCGGTGCCCTCGCGCCCCCGCTTGGGGGGGGGGGGGCGGCGGCCCTCGGCGGCTCGCGTGCGCTTTGTCGAGGGGGCCCAGGGACACACAGGCCAGGGCTTAGGTCTGGCGTGTCCCCCTACAGGCGGATTCCGGACGGAAGCTACAACAGAAACCCAGACTGCTCACACATATCGTACTCAGACATAGCCACAAGAAAACCGCTGGGACCGGACTAGTGTTTGACTGTGCTTGAGTATTCCTCCTCTAGAGGGACAGGCCTGGCTTAACAATAGGCACGGATCCCAAGAGTCTGGATGTTCGCCTTCCCCTCCACTTCCCACCTCTTCTTTTTCGGGAGCGGCCAAGAGGGGGGTGTCCAAAAGGGGGGGGGTGCAAATTATGACCGGCGGCTTGTGCGCGGCCCAGCGGGGCGGCCAGGGACGTAATGAAATGAGAAGAGGCGCCATGAAATCTAGGGAAATCTCATAGCCCACGCCATGATATCCCCCCCCCCCAGTCATCACCCCCCTCTTTGCCGCCCCCGACCTTTGGTGCTCCAGGGAGCCGGCGATCGTTTGTGCCCGTGTGCTTGTCTCTTACGCCCTGGGCATCCTTCGTCCGGGTCCCTAGTGGAATCCTTCGGAAACCCGGCGACCCCTTACGATTCGCAAGGATTCCTAAGGATTTCACGACCCAGGAATCCTTAGGAATCCCTGGGAATCCTTAGGAATCCCCAGGAGTCCCTAGGAATCCATAGGAATCCCTAGGAGCTTCGCCCCCTCCCTGGGGCCTGCGCCTTCCACGGCTCCTCGGCGCAGTTGTGGCTGGTGATGTGGTCGACCCTGCTCTCGAAGAGGGCCTGGCGCTGCGCGTACTCCTCTGGGGCAACGGAGCACCGTGCCGACATCCGCCACCGTGCCGCTGGGCACGGAGTGGGCGTGTCTAGATCGGGAGCGGCCAAGAGGGGGGTGTCCAAGAGGGGGGGTGCAAATTATGACCGGCGGCTTGTGCGCGGCCCAGCGGGGGGGCCAGGGACGTAATGAAACAAGAAGAGGCGCCCTGAAATCTGGGGAGATCTCATGGTCCCCGCCATGATATCCACCCCCCCTAGTCATCACCCCCCTCTGTGCCGCCCCCGACTAGAAGAAGAAGACGAAGAAGAAGAAGAAGAAGAAGAGGAAGACACAGAAGAATAATCATAATAATAAGAAGAAGAAAAATAAGAAAATGAAGACGAAGAAGAAGAAGAAACGGCACGAACCTCTCGTGACGCTCCGCGCGGATGTCTTGGATCTGCGCTGCCGGAGCGCGCCAGGAGCGGCGCCGGAGGCGCCGCCGGGGGGGGGCCAACGCGGATCCAAGAAATCCGTGCGGAGCGCCAGAAGTTTATGTTTATGGCGTTTTTTCTGCTTCGAGTGTCGTCAGGTCCTTTGCCCAATCCACGAAGCTTCCATCCTCACTCGTCTTGAGAAATCTCTAGGGGGCCAGGACCCCCAATTGCCAAATCTCCTGAGGCCTCTCGCGTGCTCCATGAGCCTTGTCGCGTCTTCTCGCGTGGCTTTCTCGGGCCCAGGAGGATCCAAAGACGGGCCAGGAGGGTCTCTCGAGAGGGCACAGAAGAGACACGAGACGCCAAAAGATCGCCCCAAGACGCCCAAGATGGTCCAAGAAGCTTCCAAGACGCCCAAGAGGCCTCCAAGAGGCCACCCAAGAGGGCCCGAAGAGGCCAACATCATTGATTTCCCTGAGGTTTCTGACGTTTTTGTGGCGTTCTCGCCTTTTCGGCCTCCCGATGCTCCAAGCGACGGCCCGACAGAGAAGGGACCCAGAGGGGAGACCCGAACGCACACTTCGAGCCCTCGGCCCCGAGGGGCCCCCAAGAGGCTCCAAGAGGCCCCCAAGAGGCTTCCAAGAGGCCCCCACGAGGCCCCCAAGAGGCCCCCGAGAGCGCTCCGAAGGGACCCCAAGAAGAATCCCTGAGAATTCTGACCCCCAACCCACGCACGGTGGCGGGATGGGCCGAAGACCACTTGATCCGCCGCCCCCTGTCGATTCATCGCAGGGGTGCCTGGCGTGCTAGACCCTCTCGGTTTTGGTTTTGGCTCTTTTTCCAAAAGAACTCCCCCTGGGCCTTCGGCGCGTCCCGCCAGGGTCCGGGGAGGCTCTTCCGGAGGTGGTTGCCGTAGGTTTTCCTGCCCCAGACGGCTCCAAGATGGCCTCCAAGATGCTTCCAAGACGGCCAAGATGGTCTCCAAGACGGCTAAGATGGCCCCAAGATGCCTCCAAGACGGCCCAAGATGCACCCAAGACGGCCTAAGATGGCCTCAAGCTGGCCCAAGAAGCTTCGAAGAGGCCTCCAAGACGGCCCAAGAGGCCTCCAAGAGGTCCTCCAGGAAGGCCCGAAGAGGCTAAAATCATTCATTCTCCTTAGGTTTTTTGACGGATTTGGGCATTTGCGCCTTTTCGGCTGTCCGACGGCCCGAGACGGCCCAAAAGACCCCCTTAAGGTCGCCCCAAGATCGCCCAAGAGGCCTCCACGATGGCCCCATGACGGCCCAAGGCCCCCAAGACGGCCCCAAGAGGGCCCCGAGACGGGCCAAGAGGCCTCCAAGACGCCCAAAATGGCCTCTAAGACGGCCCCGAAGTGCTCCAAGAGGGCCCCAAGTCGGCCCAGAGAGGCCCCCAAGACGGCTCCCGACGGCGTCAGACGTGCCAGGAACCCACCAAGATGGCCGAAGTTGGCTCGTGGCCCAAGACGGCCCAAGAGGCCCCCAAGGGGCCTCCAGGAAGGCCAGAAAAAAACGCCAAAAACACTTATTGTCCTCAGGTTGTTGAAGGATTTTGACATGTGCTTCTTTTCGGCAAGAGCCCCCGAAGATTGCCCAAAGATCGCCCAAGAGGCCTCCAAGAGGGCCCAGGAGGCCTTATTCCAAGAGGGCCCCAAGTCGGCCCAGAGAGACCCCCCAAACGGCTTCCGACGGCGTCAGACGGGCCAGGAGCCCACCAAGACGGCCGAAGATGGCCTTAATATGGCCCAAGACGGCCCAAGAGGCCTCCAAGAGGGCCTCCAGGAAGGCCCGAAAAGGCAAAAAACATTGATTTCCTATGAGTTTTTGAAGGATTGTGGCATTTGCTTCTTTTCGGCCTTCCGACGGCCCGAGACAGCCCAAGTGCCCCCAAAGATCGCCCAAGACGGCCCCAAGAGGCCCCCAAGACGGCCCACCTCCAAGAAAGCCCGAAAGAGTCAAAATGGCCTCCAGACGGCCCAGATGACCTTCAAGATGCCCACGTGTTCCCCGAAGGCTTTCCAAACCGATTCGGGGAACACATGGTCCGATAGCTTGGCAGGTCTGGCCTCAACGTTCGGCCACATAGGCGCTTCCAAAAAGGCAGGGGGCGGCGGTGATTCGCCGTAGGCGTCTTCGATCCGCCGCCCCCTGTCGATTCATCGCAGGGGTGCCTGGCGTGCTGGACCCTTTCGGTGTTGGTTTTGGTTCTTGTGCCAGAAGAACTCCCCCTGGGGCGTCGGCCCGTCCCGCCGGCCACCCGAAGGCCCGCAATTTTCAGATTTGTTCGTTCAAGATGGCCCAAGATGGTCTCCAAGATGGCCACGTTGGCCCAAGATGGCCTCCAAGATGGCCTCCAAGATGGCCTCCAAGTCCGCCCAAGATGGTCCAAGACGGACTCCCATACGGCCCAAGAGAGTCCAAGACGGCCGAAGACGGCCCAAGAGGCCCCCCAGAGGCCTCCAAGACGGCCCAAGAGGCCTCCAAGAGGTCCTCCAGGAGGGCCGGAAGAGACTAAAATCATTGATTTTCCTGAGGTTTTTGAAGGCTTTTCAATTTCGCTGCTTCTCGGCTTTCCGACGACCCAAGACGCCCACGAGGCCCCCAAGATCGCCCCCACAGCGCCCATATTTCCTATATTGCCCATAGTTTCAAATATTTCCCAGGTTTCCAGGATGTCCCATATGCCTCTCGCTTCGCGGAGTGCACGTCCGGAGTACGTGCAGTCAAGTCGTTTTGGGGGTTCTCGGGAGTCTCGTGGGGGCGTCTTGGGCAGTCTTGGAGTGCTCTGTCGCCGTCTGGCACATTTGGGGGCTCTTGGGGGCCTCCTGGCTGGGAGAAAGGAGCGCTCATAGACTGAGGGGGATAGAGAGAGGGGGATCTTACATTATACATATGCGCACATGCTCACGGAGTATCTCTCGATGCTGGGGGGCTTTCGGGGGCACACGTCGTACCAGACCGATTGGTGACCCACGAAGTCACCGAAGTGTTCAAAACAGGCCGACGGCCCAAGAGGCTCCCAAGACGGCCCCAAGAGGGCCTCAAATCGGCCCAAGAGGCCTCCGAGACGCTCAAGATGGCCTCTAAGAATCCCTCATATGCCCCAAGAGGACCCCAAGACGACCCAGACAGGCCCCCAAGACGGTTTCCAACGGCGTCAGACAAGCCAGGAACACCCTAAGACGGCCAAAGAGGCCCCCAAGAAGCCCCAAGGCCCCCCAAAAGCCTCCAAGAGGCCCCCAGGAAGCTCCCAGGAGGCACCAGGAGTATCCCAAGAGGCGCCCAAGAGGCCTCCTCCTCCTCCTCCTCCTCCTCCTCCTCCTCCTCCTCCTCCTCCTCCTCATTTTTTCCTCCTCATCCCCCTCCTCCTCTTCTTGCTCCCCCATGCGTTCCCCGAAGTCTTTCCAAATCGACTCGGGGAACAACTGGCCCGATAGCTTGACCAAACTCTGGCCCAGCTGTCGGCCACAAAGGCGCTTCCAAAAGGGCAGGGGGCGGCGGTGATTCGCCGTAGGCGTCTTCGATCCGCCGCCCCCTGTTGCTTGCAAGAGGGGTGCCTGGCGTGCTGAATCCTTCCGGTTTTGGTTCGGGTTCCTTTTCCAAAAGAACTCCCCCTGGGGCTCCGGCGCGTCCCGCCGGGGTCCAGGGAGGATTGCCACGGAGCATAATTCCCCCAATGTTTCCTCCAAGACGGCTCCAGATGGTCTCCAAGATGGTCATGTTGGCCCAAGATGGCCTCCAAGATGGTCCAAGATGGCCTCCAAGTTCGCCCAAGATGGTCCAAGACGGCCTCCAAGACGGCCCAAGAGGCCTCCAAGAGGTCCTCCAGGAGGGCCCGAAGAGGCCAAAATCAGTGGTTGGCCTTAGGTTTTGTAGAATTTGGGCATTCGCTTCTTCTCGGCTTTCCGACGACCCAAGACGGCCCAAGCGGCCCCCAAGGTCGCCCCCACAGCGCCCAAGCGGCCTCCAAGATGGCCTCAGGACTGTCCAAGAGGCCCCCAGGACGGCCCCAAGAGAGCACAAAGACGACCCAAGAGGTCTCCAATACGCCCAAGATGGCCTCTAAGACGGCCCTGGAGCACCCCAAGAGGGCCCCAAGTCGGCCCAGAAAGGCCCCCCAAACGGCTTCCGACGGTGTCAGACGGGCCAGGATCCCACCAAGATAGCCGAAGTTGGCTCGAAGCTGGCCCAAGACGGCCCAAGAGGCCTCCAAGAGAGCCTCCAGGAAGGCCAGAAAAGGCCCAAAACACTGATTTTCCGCAGATCTTTTTATTATATATATATATATATAATATATTATATATATTAATATATATATTTATTGATTATCGGAGGTGAGGGGGTGAGATCGAAGTGGAATGAGAGCCCCCCTACCGGGAAATCGGTTTCGGTTTCGTGTTCGTGCGTGCCGTGCATGCGGGCGAGGCGAAGCTGCGTGGGCGGGCGAGAATCAGTCTCCTGTAGCTGAGGCGCGGGCTGGACCAAAAGTCTCCCTTACCGGCAACCGGTGCCCCGCGGTGTCCCGCCGGTGTCCCGCTCGGGGGCCGGTGGCGGCGCGGTGTCCGGTGTCCCGCCGGTGTCCCGTCGGGTGCCCCGATGATGAATGGATGATGATGATGATGATGATGATGATGATGATGATGATGATGATGATATGATGATGATTGCTGATGCTGATGATGATGATGATGATTGATGTATGATGATGATGATGATGATGATGATGATGATGTTGATGATGTTGACGATGATGATGATGATGATGATGATGATGATGATGATGATGATGATGGTGATGGTGGTGGTGATGGTGTCCCGATGATGATGATGATGATGATGATGATGATGATGATGATGATGTTGTTGACGATGTTGATGATGATGATGATGATGATGATGATGATGATGATGGTGATGGTGGTGATGATGATGGTGCCCCGGTGATGATGATGCTGATGATGATGATCATGTTGCTGATGATGATGAAAATGGTGCCCCGATGATGATGATGATGGTGATGTTGATGATCCTGATGATGTTGATGATGATCAGATGAGTTTATGATGGTGATGATGATGAAGATGATGATGATGATGGTGTCCCGATGATGATGATGAGGTTGAAGATGATGCTGTTGATGATGATGGTGATGATGATGATGATGATGTCCCGATGATGATGATAATGATGATGACGACAACGGTGTCCCGATGATGATGATGATGATGATGCTGATGATGATGATGTTGCTGATGATGATGAAAATGGTGCCCCGATGATGATGATGGTGATGTTGATGATCCTGATGATGTTGATGATGATCAGATGAGTTTATGATGATGAGAATGATGAAGATGATGATGATGGTGTCCCGATGATGATGATGATGATGATGATGATGATGATGATGATGAGGTTGATGATGATGCTGTTGATGATGATGGTGATGATGATGATGGTGTCCCGATGATGATGATAATGATGATGACGATAACGGTGTCCCGATGATGATGATGATGATGATGATGATGATGATGATGTTGATGATGAGGTGATGCTGATGATTTTGATGATGGTGGCCCAATGATTGTGGTGATGATGCTGATGTCGATGATGATGATGATGATGGTGTCCCGATGAAGTTGATGATGATTATGGTGATGATGATGGTGACGACGATGATGATGGTGTTCCGATGATGATGAGGTTGAAGATGATGATGTTGCGAATGATGATGATGGTGTCCCGATGATGATGACGATGATGATGATGATGATGTGAATGATGATGATGATGATGATGATGATGATGATGATGATGATGATGATGTGGATGATGTTGTGCATGGTCGTGATGATGCGATGATGATGATGATGACGATGATGGAGTCCCGATGATGAGTATGGTGATGCTGATGATGTAGATGATGATGGTGATGAGGTGATGAGGATGATGGTGTCCCGATGATGCTGATGATGATGATAATGATGATGATGATGTTGATGACGATGATGTTGTTGATGATGATGACGTTGATTGTGATATCGATTGTGATATCGATAGTGAAATCGATAGTTAGACCGAATGTGAGATCGATTGTGATATCGATAGTGAGATCGATAGTGAGATCGATTGTGAGATCGATAGTCATATCGATTGTGAGATCGATCGAATGAAATAGATCGAGTGAGATCGATTGTGAGGTCGATCGAGTGAGATCGATCGAGCGAGACCGATAGTGAGATCGATAGTGAGATCGATAGTGAGACCGATCGAGTGAGACGTTGGTTCCTCCCCCTCCCGAACCTCCTTACCACCCGAAGGGTGGTCGTATAGGTGTGTGTATATATAAATAAATAAAGACTTTGACATTTGCTTCGTTTCGGCCTTCCGACGGCCCGATACGGCCCAAGAGCCACCAAAGATCGCCCAAAGATCGCCCAAGAGGCCTCCAAGATGGCCCCAGAACGGCCCAAGAGGCCCCCAAGACGGCCCCAAGAGGCCCTCAAGACGGCCCTGGAGCATTCCAAGAGGGCCCCAAGTCGGCTCAGAGAGGCCCCCTCAACGGCTTCCGACGGCGTCAGACGGGCCAGGGGCCCACCAAGACGGCCGAAGATGGAACCAAGGTGGCCCAAGAGGCCTCTAAGAAGGCCTCCAGGAAGGCCCGAAAAGGCAACAAGCATTGATTTCCCATGAGTTTTGGAAGGATTGTGGCATTTGCTTTGTTTCGGCCATCCGACGGCCCAAGACGGCCCAAGTGCCCCCAAAGATCGCCCAAGAGGCCCAAGACGGCCCCAAGAGGCCCCCCAGGACGGCACAAGAGGCCTCCAAGACGGCCCAAGAGCCCTAGACGTCCTCCAAGAAGGCTCGAAAGGGTCAAAATGGCCTCCAGGCGGCCAAGATGACCTTCAAGATGCCCACGTGTTCCCCGAAGGCTTTCCAAACCGATTCGGGGAACACATGGTCCGATAGCTTGGCAGGTCTGGCCTCAACGTTCGGCCACATAGGCGCTTCCACAAAGGCAGGGGGCGGCAGTGATTCGCTGTAGGCGTCTTCGATACTGTCTCGGAGGGCCGCACGGATTTCTTGGATTGGCGTTGGGCCCCCCTGGCGGCGTCTCCGGCGCCGCCCCTGGCGCGCGAGGCGCCAGTGCGCGGAGCTCCGAGGAATGCTTCTGCCGTCTTTTAAGGTGGAGACATCCGAACCCTACCCCCATCGCCCATCGAGTTGCCTGACTCGTTGATCCGCGAGGGTAGCGTCCGGATCTCGCCGCCGAGTTTGATCTTCGAACTCCTCCGAGCCAGGCGAGTACTGGCGCTCGTACTTCTGCACGAAGTCCTCGAAGTTCAGCGCCACACCGCCGCAGTTGAGCTGCTCGGACGGGCCGTAGTTGACCTTCAGGGCGCCAGTCAGCGGCAGGAGCCCCGCCAGGACGCCGGCCTTCTGCATGCTGCTGGCTGCCACCATGGATGGTAAGATAAAAAAAGGGGCTCAGGGATATGTAATGCGCCTGCCTCGGTACGTAGTAAGAACCTGAGCGGCTGCGGAGAGGCAAGACGGCTGCGGAGAGGGGACGATGGGGGAGGGAGGGAGGGCAAGCAAGAGGAGGCGAGTGATCAGAAAAAATAGAATGCGGGGAAGAAGAGAGAGGAGAAGGCGGGAACGAAGGAAGAGGAGGAGGACGAAGAGGAGGAGGAGGAGGAGGAGGAGGAGGAGGAACAGCAGCAGCAGCAAACACAGACGCGAAGGGATGCCTCTCGAGGCGAACGGAAGGGAGGATAGCAGGAGGGGTTGGCGAATCAGCGGCACGCAGCTGACTTTCCTGGCGCCTCCTTGCGCTGGGAGGCGGCCGTGTATCCAGGAAAGGGACTGGCGACGGAGCCCAAATCCCCCTCGTCCGCCTCCTCCTCCTCCTCCTCCTTCTCCACCTCACCTTCCCCCTCCTCCCCTCTCCTCGCCCCCTTCCTCCTCCTCTCTCTCCTCTCCTCATCCTCCTCCTCCTCCTCATCCTCCTCCTCCTCCCTCCTCCTCACCCTCCTCCTCCTCCTCCTCCTCCTCCTCCTCCTCCTCCTCCTCGCTGCTTCTCGCCACATCTTTGCGCCCCGTTCGTCCCTCGTCCGCTCCGAGATCTGATACCGCCTCAGTCTGCTGTTGGGGGCCTGTTGAAGGCAGCTGGCAGGGACCAGCTGGATCGCAGCTCAGAAGCCTTGCCGGACGGGGGGGCAGTGATGCGGGCGCTGGCGGAAGCATCGGCCAAGCCTCAATATCCTTCGGATGGGATGAGGGGAAGGGGGAGCAAGGACGAAAAGGCGGAGGATGCGAACACGGCGTGGGAGGTGAGGATCCTGAAGGACACGAGGATGCGAACACGACAAGACGGAGGAAGTACGAAAAGGCGGAGGGGGAGGTGAGGAGGGGGAGGCGGAGGAGGGGGAGGCGGAGGAGGGGGCCGGCCAGGGTGGGGGGTCAAAGAAGCAGGAGGGGAAGGGGAAGGCCCCCTGTCTGGGGGAACAAAAACGGCATAAACGTAAACTTTTGGCGCTCCACGCGGACTTCTTGGACCCGCGCTGGACCCCCTCCTTGGCGCGCGGAGCGCACCAGGGGCGGCGTGGGAGGCGCCGAGGGGGGGGCACAACGCGGATCCAAGACATCTGCGCGGAGCGCCTAAACTTTCTGTTCATGCAGCTTTTTCCAACTTCGAAGGAGGGGAGGCGGAGGATGGGGCAGGCGAGGGGGGGGGAAGCAGGAGGGGAAGACACCCCTGTCCTTGCTCCTCCCCCCCTTCCTCGACCCCGTCGGCCCCACCGAGCCCCCATCCATCTCGATCCACGACTCCCCCGAGCCTGCCTCGAGCTGCCGGCCCGCGCCGAACCTCGACCACCCTCTCGACCCCTCGGCCCCTTGACCCCACATCGACCGAGCCGCCTCGGTTCCCTCTCCTCCGCCTCCTCCTCCTCCTCCTCCTCCTCCTCCTCCTCCTCCTCCTCCTCTTCCTCCGCCTCCTCCTCCCCCTCCTCCTCATCCTCCTCCACCTCCTCCTCCTCGATTTTCAATCCCTCCCCCCTCCTCCTGGATCCGCCGCTCTTCAAGCCCTCGTCGGCCTGACCTCGTCGCTTGAAAGAGTTGGGCTTGACGCTGGCTCACGTCCGAATCCATAGTGCTCCTCGCACATCCCCTTCGTCCTCCTCCCGCTCCTCCTGATCCCCCTCTCCCCCTCGATCGCCTCCTCCTTCCACCTCCTCGATCCTTAACGATCCGCTGCTCCACCCTCTCCTCCCCCTCGACTCCCTCCTCCCTTCCTCTCTCTTTCTCTTTCGGCCGCTGGGTCCACCGCACGCGGCCATACCCCCCCCCAAGGGCGGTCGCCCCTGGCGCGACCATATTTCGCATCCACCGCTCAGGCCCCACGGCAGTTGCCATGTGGGGCTCCTGTGTCCACGGCCTAGGAGACACGAGGCTCCATGGGCTGCGAGTTTTGGCGGCTCACGCGGAAGGCAGATTCCCGAGTGGGTCTTCGGTTGGGCTGTACCTGGGTAGTGGGCGCCAAGGTTGGAGGCGTGATCCTCTGATTTTAACGACGGCGGATTCGATCCGCCAGTATTGCGAAGTGCTCTCCGACGGACAGCTCTCGAGGGCGGTCCTGGAGGCACTGGTGATTGCTGGAAACAAGAATGCTGCTTCCGAGCGGCCATGGGTAACCTGCAAGGACCCAGTGGCTGCCGCGGCCATTACAGCCCAGAGGGTGGGATGGCGGTTTCGGGACGCGGTGACCTTGGTGGACGATCGGGGGGTCGACTGGGATCTGCGATTTTACTCGCATGCCTGCATCGCAGCTCAGATTTCGTTCGCGGCTCGACGCGCCTCGGACGTCCGAGCGCTCAGCCTGCTGGACGATGCCTGGGTCACCGACGTGTGCTGGAGGCCCCTGCTTGAGCTGATGTTTTGTGACTGGACGGAGGCCTGGAGCCGCCACGAGCAGAACTCTCTTCGGGGCTTGGTTGCAGGTTCCCACTGGACCCAGGGCCGGCTTCACGACCAGGAGCCGTCTCTCCCAGAGGAGTGCCAACTGTGCAAAGCATCTCGGGGAACCATGTTTCACCGTTGCTATGCCTGCCCTGCGCACGATGTTTTCCGACGGGATTGCATGCCCACGGAGTTGGCCAGATCGGTCGACAGAATGAAGCAGAGCCCGCCAGCTTGGAAGGAAAGGTTCGCGCGGGGGTTGTTTCCTGAGCCTGGCCAATGCGTGGGGAGACCACCTTTCAATCCAAGCTGGGGGCTGTGGGTGCACGGCGCCCTCCAGCTGCCAATCCTCCTGGAAGGAGGGTACGTCTTCACGGATGGGTCGGGCCTCGACCAGCACCACCCGTCCCTCAGAGTTGCTGGCTGGAGCATGGTGCTGTACGGCTCCGACAGATGCTACGTCGGAGCGCTATTTGGAGCAGTGCCGCCTGATATCGGCATCACTGGCACGGCCAGAGATGGCGAAGACTATGCTATGCTGATGTGCGCCCAGAATGTTCTGGGTCAGTTCTCTGTGCGGGCAGACTGCAAGGGTACACAAAGTTGCTGCCAGTCGCCCAGCATGTCGACTTCGGCGTGCAACCCGCGAGCCCACCTGTGGAGGCGGGCTCATGCGCGCGAAGATTTCCGTGCTCGGCCGTTCGAGCACGTCAAGGCCCACACGTCGGCCGCCAGCGTTGAGCGCGACCTGATTTCGCCGTTCGACAGAGACGGCAACAATGCTGCAGATAGCTTCGCCAAGAAAGGTGCGGCCCAAGCCAGAGCCGCCGTCTGCGACGTTGAGCTGGTAGAAGGATGCCAGTTGATTGCCAAGCTCGCGGCCAAGTTTTCGGCCCAGCTGGCGGCCTCGATGGCCTCGTCCGAAATTCGGGACAATGTTGGGGTCGAGTACCTCAAGAAAATCGACCTGGGGCTGGTGCACTACCACGGTTTGTCGGTCCTAGAGGTTCCTGAGGCGGAGTCCAGTGATGCGGTCCTCCCTCCTCCCGAGCCTCCTGCTCGTGCTGCTGCGGTGGAACCTCCAGGGCCCGCCTCAGAGGATCCCGACTGGCTCCTGGACAAGGGTGTTCAGCCCTGGAGAGTGAATGGTCACTGTGTAGTGCAGGGCTCGGTGCCCAATAATTCCCCGATAATTTATTGCCCGTCTTGCTGGCAGTATGCGACCACCCCAATGCAGCGAGGTCTTGTGGGAGTCTGCGAGGGGCCCAAGAAGATCTCGGGGGGGTCAGCGTACACTGTCCGAAAGAGGCTGAAAGAAGGTTTTCATCCTGTTTTGCACCCTCTGGTGGCGCTCGGGCCTTCGGAGGCCCCGTCCGATGAGACCAGGGGCCGTTTCTCCAGGCACTTCGGGGAGGCCCTGGGGCGGCCGTGGCTCCAAGAGCGCCGAGGGTCGTCCCGTTTTCGAAACAGGCCGTGGCTCCACGCCTCGGCTTGGATTCCGTGCTGCTCGCTTTTGGTTTCAGCTCCAGAGCGGAGGCTGAAGAGCTTGGTCGACAGGTGCTCCTGGATCGAGCTTCTGCCCAGGCCAGGGCGGCGGGTACCGCGGACCCAGAGGCTGAAGAGTAAGTTTCTGGGGGGTGGGGGGCCCTGTCGGCTGGGCCCGCCCGAGGTGGATCACAGCCTCGGGCGGGAACAAAAAGTTCTCGTCTGATGGGCGCCCCCACCCCAATTTTCCTCTCTCCCCCCTTGACTCTCCCTCTATGGGCGATGAACCTCCTCCTCCCCCTCGTCCTCGGTCCCTCCTTCTCCTCCTCCTCCTCCTCCTCGGCCCCCCTCCTAGATCCCCCCCATCCCCTCCCGCCACCCGCCAAGCCCCGCCCACCGGGGCCTCGTCCACGAGGCCGAGCGCGGGAGCCCTCGGCTCCCGGCGCTGCCAGGGCGCGCCGTCGTCCTGCCGGCGGGGCCGTCGTCACCGCCGCCGCCGTCGCCGACCTCGTCAGCGTCGTCGCCGCCGTCGTCGCCGCCGTCGTCGCCGTCATCGCGGGCATCGCCGTCAACGTCCTCGTCGCGGTCGCCGTCGCCCGTCGCCGCCGAAGCCGACGTCGCCCGTCGTCTTCGCCATCGTCGTCTTCGCCATCGTCGCCGCCGTCGGTGTCGCCGCCGTCGTCGCATCGTCGCCGCCGCCATCGTGTTCGCATTGCAGCGGAAGGAGAAAGAGGAAAAGGAGGAGGAGGAGGAGGAGGAGGAGGAGGAGGAGGAGGCGAAGGGAGGAGAAGGAGGATGAGGAGGATGAGGAGGCGAAGGGCGAATAAGGGAGGACAGAGAGGAGGGAGGTGGTGGTGGGCAGGGTGGTTGCGGGAAGAACGGGGAGGAGAACGGGGAGGAGGACGACAAGGTCCTCAGAGGTCTTCAGAGGCCCTTGGAGGCCTGTTGGGGTCCCCAGAGGCCTCTGGGAGGAGGAGGAGGAAGAACGAGGAGGAGGAAATGCCGTTCAAGACTTCGCT